GTGGGCTTGCCGGTGGTCTCGGGAACGGGTTCACCGGCGGGCTCTGGTTTTTTTATTGTTTTTTTATCCATTAACCGAGGTGGACGTTGTAAGGAGACCGCCTCTATAGTTGCTATTTTTGCAGCGGGCAGAGAGGCCGCCTGCGTTGTTCTTGATTAACTCAGACCTTTTAGCGCAGGCGGAGGGAATGCCTGCCTACAGAAACTGAAAATGACCACCTGCCAAAAGTTTTATGTAGTAGTGTGCCTAAAACAGCCATAGCTAGTTATAGCGGCAACTATTTTTTTAGATAACGGAATAAAGTTCCAGCCTCTACCATCCGAGGATGATAGTTGATACATAGCTGAAAGTCAAGATACAAACCAAGGCCATAAGGCACACACTCTCACGTCCAAGAGAGATAGAAAAAGTAACACACGGTTCAACTGAACTAGGAGCAGGGCTAACAACAAAAAGAACTAGGCTTCAATACGATTCCTGATGTTCCACCCAAACTTCGAAAAGACGGCCATAATCAAAGTTTCCCAGCTTCTGCAACCCATCTTGAACAGTGGTCGCTCCTCCTCCTTATGCAGCATGGACCACTGTCTGATCCAGCATGTCGCCCTGAAAATTAGTTGTATACAAGTATTAGACTTAGCAATGTTAAATACCATATCGTTTATATTCAACCGTAACGCCCAACAAAGTGCAGCGACTCCTAGCCAGTTATAGCGGCAACTATAGTCGGAGATTATTATCTTTCTTAGGACAAAACTAAAACAACTTACATTTCGGAAAACACACCCATTCATGCCCACTTATCCACTGAATATAAGCATTCATAAGTCATCTCTCTTGCATCTATGATCTATCCCATTCATCCTTGAAACTCTCTAAACCCCTCATGAAGTAGGCTATGTTTCTGTTCGAGAAAAAAAGTAGGCTATGTTTCTTAAAAAAGAACTATTTGGCTTTCTTTGTAGTTTGTTCCCCAGTGGCCAAAAGGAGAGCATACAATGAGGGAATATTATCTTCCCTGTTTGTTGAATCAGCACCCTATCTATATTACTCACCACCAGACTTATTTGATTATTTTTCCATGTATACTTTGATCCTTCCCTTTTTAATTTTCTTAGTACCAGTCATCACTAGAATCAATGAAGGCTACAATTAACCTGTTATCCCCTTGTCCAGTGTTTCCTTACCAGTAACTATAGGCAAACACTATTACTGTACTGTGCCCGTCAATTCCCTCAAGAAAGAAAAAGAGAGTTCAGGTTGTTCTGGCCCATAGACTATAATTAGCCTCCATATCAAATCATTCAGTCTGTTCCTGATCTCCGCTTTCACAAACAATTCCTTACCTCTCAAAAAGTCAAACTTTGAAATTTTGGACTATCTACTAGTCAGAATATATGTATGTTTGGTGCACAAAATATACATTAATAGATTCCTATTTCACATGTCTTTAGTAAGACATTGATTATATTACCAGGTAATTTAATGCTACCGTGTTGGTGAGCTGCTTTTGGCATAAAAGTTTGATGCACCTAGTTTTGTTGTTTTTTTTTAGGATGAAAAGTTCAGTTGCATTTCTAACCACAGTAACATTTTGTAGGCGTTCGTGATGGTCGTCCTGAACCAAATGGCCCAATGCCTAACATGCATAACCCACTATGGCAAAATTCAATTCAAGGTGGGGGGAATCAGTTAATATAAGGCTTGAAGCTCTCTCTTTTCCTCTTTTTCGTTTTCAGATAGCGCAAGGAGATGCATGCTCTACCTGTGCATACATATACCTCAAATCAGTGAACATTAAAGATTAGTACATTGCTTGAAACTAGTACACAATCAAGGTGTAAAAGTGCACCCTCAGTGGCCTGGCTGTAAACTTGCCTCCTTCCTTTGTCCCCAGTATTTTGAATGATGCAGACCGTAATGTTTCCACCCCATTTTCAGGGCTGGATACAATTGGACAAACACAGCTTCATTTTATAGGAAACACTGATATCCCTTGCACAGGACCATCTGCTAGTGTAAGTAATAGAAAAACTAAGGCACAATTTCTACCTAGGTCCAACAACCAAGACTATATATATCCTTATTTTTCTTCCAATTATTTACACTAATTTTATTTGGCACTACTTGTCATTTTGTCAAGCAAGTACAGCAGGCTCGGATACCGCAAAATCAAGATCATTGGCAGAACTTAACCCACCAACCTATGAACAATGGGACTGGTATGGCTCTTTGATTCATTGGATTGTCGCCCTATTTGATTCCTAAATTGATATGTTGATTGGATTTATCTCCAATAATTTTCTGTGATTTCAACTCATACAACTTTAAAATATTGGTCCTTCTGTTTACTGGTTATACTACCATCTTTTACTGTCAATGACTAGAATTCAACTTTTTGTTAGAAAAAATTGGAATTAAACCCATTAATAGGAGTATAGCATTATAGATTCATATTAAAGAATTGTAAAAGTGCAATTGTAATTTGAGCAGCAAATATAATAGGTGTATTCATAATTAAAAACCTCCTTCAATATATAGCCTAGCCCAATAATAGGAGGGAGGCATGCATCTACGGCATTGATTTTCTTTTGGCACGAGATTGTGCCTATTTCATTAACAGAGGAGTTAAAAACCGACTGATTAATAGAAATAAAAAACCAGAAAAAGGAGCCAAACCTAGTAACACCGACTACTATCTTGAAAGGAAGATTGATAAGCTTTTTGCTCCCGCCACAATCCCGCACCCGGCTTTGGCCTTGATTTGTGCAAAAAGTGACAAAGGGCTTGTTTCATGTTTCGGGAAGACCCTTGCATTCCGTTCCTTCCAAATTTCCCAAATAATAAGAAGTGTGAAACTCTAATAACCTTGCGCGGGATTTCTGCAGTGATGGTTATTTGGTCCATCAATCCATGGCATTTTCGCTTGGTATCCACTCTCTGGCTGTAGGTGTGGTTGTGTCCACTCTTTGTAGTTGTAGTCCAAATTATAAATAGGTTGATATCAAGGAGTTGTAAAAGAAGCATAGTCTTGTCCTTAGCAACAAATAAAATAAATCATGATAGGTTATATTCAAATTGAAAACCTGTCCTATTCTTTTTTCCAACCACGCCCCCGCATCGCCCAATCCGGGAGGCTCGGGTGGTCCCCCTGCTCCTCGCCTCCAGGCCCTCATGGCGTCGACCTCGCCCTCACCGCCGCCGGAGCTGCCGGCCTGTGCCCAACGAGCAGCATGGAGGGCGGCGGTGGGGCCACCCTGCCCTCTCAATTCTGCGATGCGCCATGGTCACTCGCGGCAGCACGGACGCCGTGTACGAGTTGCTCTGGTTGGTGGCTACCGCCGGTGCTGCTGCAGCTTGGCCATGTGCGCAGGGTCTTGATGCTGTGCTCCCACGGTGGCGTGTCATTGGATCTGCATGGGCGGCAGCCGGATCCGTACGGGGGGCTGCGAGATCCACGTTGCTGGCGGCCGAATCTGTGGGTTTGGTGGCCGGTGCTGTGTGGAAGGCGGCCGGGTTCGGCAGTGGGGCATGTAGTGGCTGGTTGGGCGGCTGGGGCTTCTACCTCCCCTTCTATGGCCCTCTCCTCCTCACCATCTTCCTTCTCCCTTGCTTTGGCCAGTTCCGTGGTGGAGTTGGCTGGATCTGCTTGCTGCTAGCTGGCTTCGGCTGCTGATAGTGGTCAGCCCATATGGCAGGCTTCTTGCGGCACTTTTGCTGGCTGACAGGTGGCTGGTGCTGCCCATCCTTCCTTAGGGCGGTGGCGGGACCCTCGTTGCGGCTCCCTGTGGCGGCTCAGGTTGTCGTGGTGGCTGAGTGGTGGTTGGCTCCCTTGGCTCTCCGCATCCGGTCTCCTTGATGGGTCGGAGGTGTCTCATTGTGGTTGCGCATGCAGCGAGGACGCACGCGGTACGCATGGTGGTGTCGGGTGTCGGCGGGGACGCCCGCAGATCGTCACCGGCGCCTTTCTGCAAGGCAGGCCCCTCTGCGGTGGGCAATGGTGGGCCGCGGTGGGCTGGTGTGAGAGATCAATGCAAAAGCCTGGACGACGACGTCTGCGGACGCCGCTTCCTCCTTGGAGGCGTCCGTCCTTTCCTCTTCTCCTACCCAGCTAGTATTTGCGGGTGAAAACCTTCCTATGGTGGGCTCGCGACGTCGACGCCTTTGGCGTCGTTTCCTTACAGAAGGCATCACGAGGCATATTTCTAGCTCCGCTCCGCAGTTCCGCTCTTGTCATTTGGCCATGGTGGTGCTCCAGGGTTGTGGTACCCAGAGTTGTTTAGTTGTTAGCCAGGTCTCCATGCAGTGGAGTTGCTAGTTGGGTCATTTTTTTCTACCAAAGTTGGCTCAGTGTTGAGCAAGTGGTTGTTAGTTGTTGGTCTTTGTACCCAAGTGGTCGAGGTTGTTGGGATGAGTGGTGCACTCTCTCTAGTTGTGTGGTTTTTGGGCCCGGTTTCTACTCAAAAAACTGGGCCGGCACTTGTTTTTTATTTTTCTTCGTCTAATAAAAATAGCGGCAAAACTTTTGCCGTCCTTTAGAAAAAAATTGAAAACCTGTATTAGTGTACAGACTCATATTTGCGTGGGACTCTGTGTTAGTTTATTTAATATTCTTGTGTTATTCTTGTGTTTGTAAGTTAATTTAGCTTACAAGCTTACAGGAGTATTTCTCAACCATTTTTGTAAGGTACCCATGACTGTACTCAGTTTTGTAAGTTTAGCCTTCTACATTTTGATCTCACCCATGAATGCTGCAACTGTGTTACTTAATTGAGCAATCTTTCTACTAGTAGGACAAATGATTTGTCTTATGGGGTTAATATTCTGCAGGTACGCTATTTTATACTCACCAAAGAATATGTCCAGTGCGCCTTATATTGGATACGCCCAGTATGGTGCCAAGCAAGCATTGTTTTAACCTTCTTGATCAGCCAAAATTTTATAATTGTGGTTTACCTACTGCACGCGTCATGCAAGAGCACTTTGGCTCACTGACCACCATGCCAAAGGAAGTCATGCAGACTCGTCGGGGAAGAGGTGTTCTCATTGAGCCACTTGAGCCTGACGATTCAGATGAAGGGTGTGTTCCTCAATCCTTCCTCAGTTACATAGAGATACCAAAGTTCTACAAAGAATCAATCAGCTAACTTTTACTAATTTGTCTGAACATTTTTTAGGCGACCACTAAAGAGGAAGCTGCACAGTAAATGTCAGTTGCGATTTGTGAATAAGGTGTGTGAGACATATTACACATGGGATCAAATAAAAGCAGATGAGGGTGACCTTCTCAAAGTTGCTTTGTTCGATGAGAACAACACGAAGATCACATCTGGTCCCCTGTCTTCAGCTTCTGTTGAGGTCGTAGCTCTCCATGGTGACTTCAATTGTGATGGTCAGGATTACTGGACTTCAGAGGAGTTCGATCGCTCTGTTGTGTCTCCGCCACCAGGAGAAGAAGCATCATCGTCAGTCCTAGGCGGTGATCGCATCTTAGTTCTTGTTGGGGGAGAGGCATGTCTCGGTGATGCCTTTTTCCAGACAACGTCCTTTTGTGCCAGAACTGGAAAATTTAAGATGGGTGTAATGCTGGCCAGCGCCCAAGATGAGAGAGTTCATGAAGGCATATCAGAACCATTACGGGTGATGGATAACCGTGTCAAAGGTACTCTTTTTTATCTGTTCTTTATTTTGTAAAAGAAAAAAAAGGCATGCCTACATATATAACTTAACATGGAATTTTATAGATCTTCAAAATCAGTCACTTAACTCACAATATTGAATTCTGAAATATATTCCAGCTGATCTGCAACATATGTATGTATTCAAATATACATAACATATGTGTGTGCATTGCCAAAGGGCGCCTAGCTCAAACGGTTAGGTGACCTAGCGCCACTCCTCAGGTTCTGGGTTCGACTCCCCGTGGGAGCGAATTTCAGGCTGAGGTTAAAAAAATCCCCTCGTCCGTCCCCATAACCAAAGCATTGAGGGGGCACCGGCCCAATTCTCACTTGGGCGACGGAAAGCCACCGTGTAAGGGTAGGGGCGGGGGTTCGGGGGTTTTCTCGGCAGGGTGAGAAGGTCATTCTTCTTATTTGTAATGCTGCTGGGGTAGTCTTAACCCCCCGGTCGAGTTTTTTTTTATGTGTGTGCATTCATGTTTCATATGTTGAAATTTTCAAATGACAACCTTTTGCGGAAAAATTATTGATATGTTTGTCGATTGAGTGTTTGCAGAGTTGCATGCAAAAGATGGGCCTACACAAGGTATCCATAGATTAGCTACCCCCTTTTTTCCACTCTGTATTGCTGATGATGAGTATCCTTAATGTTTCCTGGTCATTTTTAGGATTTAATCCAGCTGCAGCAACACTACAGTTTCCAAGAAACACTGTCACAGAAGCCATTGTAAGTTATACTAACTAAAGAAAACTAAGACAAGTTTTGAATCTTGGGGCAAAAACCATGACTAGACCATAACTCAAGGTTAATTTGCAAAGGTTTTGATGTACATAAAATGAACCTAACTGTAGAGGAACATGCTTAAAGATTAAGAAGGTGGATCACAGTGCTTTAATTATTTTACCTCCAGGACATAGTATAAATTTAACTAACTTCGTTTGCCGGCTCGTTATTTTTTCAGCAACAACAGGCTTCGAAAATTTCTCATCTAAAGGCCAGAAGTGCCCCATGTATGAGTATCCTACCTGGTACCGCACTTCTATTCACAGGATTTTGTTATTTAATTTCTAGCTTGTTCCCTACAAATATATTAAATGGTTGTTTAGTAGGGTAATTATTGTGGATTTTCTTCTAAGGATGTGGTCATTACTAGCACTGTGACGGAGCCACACGCTCCATCCTCTTCCGAAGCTCAAATAAATAACACAAATCAAAACTTATTCCGGCTTCATTCTGGCAACAAACATCAAACAAATATCATCTCACATATCAAATACACATACTAGTGCTAGATATTTTATATTAATACAACAGTTTAAAGGAGGTACCATATTCGTCTAAAGAACCTAGAAATTACAAGGTTAATTGAGAAAAAAATAATAATTTATGCACCGTTGATGTTAATGATCATTTAACGGTCTAGATTTAACAGAAGAGCCAATAAAAATACGATTGATATTGTTCTGGACTCAAGGTTATAATTATTTAGATCCACCTATTATAGAAATCTTCATCTAACAAGAGATACAACGGTTTCTTCACGCTCTTCACGTCAACATACAAAATGGATTAGTGGCTACTTGAGGCATTAGTGGCTCCATAGCACATGGCATAATAAGGCAACTGAATCCGTAAGAGAAACTATAGGATCATAAAAAATTTAGAACTTACAAGAGGGCCAATGAACTGAACATTTGGGAAACTTGAATAGTAGTTTTGTTGAGGAATGGAACTCACAAAGATGAAGTTGAAGGCAACCTTAATTTGGCCTCGAGAGGAATCCACAGCCACCAAATAGGAGAGGGAAAAAATGAAGAGCATAGGAAAATGACAATATCTTTAAACTAAGAGCATCTCCAAGAGTTCACGTAAAATTAGATCTCCTATTTTCTCCATTCTAAACATAAATCCTCCCTAAATCGTTTTATCCATAGCAATTCTGTAAAACCTCGACCTCCCATTTTTAAGATAGGCTGGACAGGGAGTGAATCGAATTTGATCTGAGTTAGAGGGATGATCTAGGGTGTCACTAAATTTAGAAAGTTTTATAGGAGCACTATTGGGATATTTTTCTTTGTATAAACCTTATTTTTATTATGGGATGTTGAATTGGGGCACACTTGCTTGATGGTGTTTTAAGGAATTGGTTGATGATAGCTATATGTATTTCATTCCGAGGGCTCATGGAGAGAGGACAATTTCAATAAAAGACAAAAACTATTTGTAAAAGATATTTTAGTGTAAAAAAATCTAAATGGTACTGTGAAAAAAAACTAGCTACCTATACTATTGCATGGACAACCTTACTAGTTTTAACTTCGAATTCAGACAAAGCTAATTTGGAACGGACAGAGTAAACAATGCATACCTGAGTGCTAATAATCACAACAACAATTGTTGTAGCTGCACAACACACGGCAGCCATGGCCGGGTTAGGCGTCCTCGAAGCAAGGACGACGACCGCGCAGCAAAAGCAACAGCAGCTGCGACCCACAGAAGTACCAGCAAGCAGAACACCGTCTCCAGTAGTGATAAGACGAGCGTGCATGAGTCATAAGCTGGCACTTGCTCCCATGTTGGTTCCGAGTCTCCCGAGCTGGTCGTTCCTGCAGCGTTGCTTCCTCTGCCAGAGGGAGCTCACCGAGGGCATGGACATCTACATATACAGGTCAGTTCAATTCGCCACATACAAGCTAAGGCGCTCATGCATGCATGTGTCAGTTATGATGTCGTGAATTCTCTGGCTTCTGACGATGGCGTATGGTTATGCATGTAACAGAGGCGACAGGGCGTTCTGCAGCAAGAGCTGCCGGTGCCGGCATATGACGGAGGACGATAGCTCCGCCATTGACAGCGGCCGGGTGACGGCGCCAGACCGCTTCCACCGCCCTGGCAGCTGCTACAAGGCCACCCCCAGCGTTTACTTTTTCTTGGAATGCAGGCAGGTACAGGGATGAGCAGGAGCGGTCGACCAGGCAGGCCAGCCGGCGCCCGGTGGTAGTAGGGAAGAAGAAAGGACATGGGAATTGGGATGGGTGTGTGATACTGAATGCGAAAGTTATTATAACAATTTCTACTGCCTGAATTTCTCACCTGCAGTTAATGCAATGTGAATGTTTGGCACTTGAGAGACCTTGTCATTGAGCCCGATCTTATCGTTGCACGGAGGTCAACGCGATTCCGTGAGTGAAATTCCATTTCTGAACCAAGGCTGCGTGGCATTACATTTCTGTGGTCGCCGTGCTTGACGAGCTTGCCCGTCCTGGTCCTGGATTGCTTCATTGCGACGACACCGAGGGAACTGCTTGCACTTGCAGCCGGCTGGCCGGCGGTTATGGACGGCGAGCTCCGGCCAGCCGGCGGCTATGAACGATCTATTGCTTCCCTTTCAATAAAAAAAAAACATAAGAAATATGGATCTCTAATCAACTCTCAAGGGGCTCCTATGAAATCTCTTTTATGCTGGATCTGGAGTCTGCCACTTAAATGAAGTAGAAGAGATATGACCTCCAAACTGATCCAATTCATGCCTTTTCTCCGGTGGTATACCACCTGCAGTGCTGTAATGGATGATATCTGTCTTTTGACTTTAGTTGAAAGACAGGGCACTGCCCTAAAACTCTCAAAAAAACTGATCCAATTCATGCACATACAAAGAAACAAGAATCTTGCTTCCCAGACCAGAGAACCTGATTGACGGAAAATGAGCTTCATGCAAGGTCAGCAACCATGAGCGCCACCAAGGCTCTTGCAGGAAATTAGACAAGTGAAAACATCAATATTGACTGATACTACAAATCTGGTCTGGTAACAGTACAAACACACCCACCATTGCCGATAATGAACAGATCCTGAAGAGACCCTGACCAAAATGTTCTATTTCAGGGTGTTGGCATGCATGCTACAGCCTACAGTACGAGCATTGCGCTGAAGGTTATGGTTTTTGTACAGTGTCATCCATGGTTGCCTGCTCAGCGAAAATATGCTAATGCTTTGCATCTTCAGGATGCCTGGATGTCATTCAACAAGCTCCGCCAAGTTGCCAAAACCAGATACGCTATGAGTGTGTGCGCACCATTTCAGCAGCCCCGGAGGTAAGCTGGATGCTGAGGTGTGGCTAGCGCAAAAATGTGGCTGCTTAACATCAGAACAACCTCCTGCATGGTGGGCCGGTTTGCAGGGTTCTCTTCCACGCACAGCAGTGCTAGCTGGATGCACCTTAGTATCTCCATCCTCTCAGATTCGTTGCCTGGGGGTGAATCAACAAACTTGATCAAACTGCCTGCTCTCCATAACTGCCACGCCTGAGGTGAGGGAACAAAAGTAAAATAAAAATGACATCATAGATTGCCATTTTAATGGCAGTTAGTGGTGCATTTAACTAAAAGGTCCATGCTGGATGTTTATTATTGAAAAAGATGGAGATAGTATGAAAGTTCTATGCACCCTCTTATTCAGAAATCCATGATCATCGCCAGATTCTCCACTTGCAAGTGAAAAGCACCGTTGTCTACTTATTATCTCGAGAAGCAATGCTCCGAAGCCATATACATCAGACTTGATGGAGAAAACACGTCTTTCCCGACATTCAGGGGCAGTAAAACCACTACAACAGGGAAATAAAAATGTAAGTTCTCGAAAAATAAGAAGGAAAGAGCCTCTTGTGCCGACCCATCACAATCGTGATACCAATCTGATAACATCTTACATTGAGCCCACTATGCGGTCAGCAAACTCTTCATCTACTCCCGGATTATATGTTCTAGATAAGCCAAAATCAGAAATCTTGGGCTTCATGTTGGTATCCAAGAGAATGTTACTTGGCTTTAAATCTCCATGTATAATATGTAGTCCACAAAGCTTATGAAGATAAAGCATCCCTTCAGCTATTCCTTTAATTATCTGAAAGCGTGTAGGCCAGTCCAGATGCAACCTTCTTGTCCTTGCACCTAAGCACAGAATGCTTACTCTAATGAGCTCACTACAGCACATTATATTTTGTATAAAATTGAGATGACCTAAAAAATAGTGAACACATGCCAAAGATGAAGGAGTCGAGGCTTCCATTTGACATATATTCATAGACCAAAATCCTCTCCCTTTCCTGCATAGTGTCTCCCAAAAGCTTAATTATATTGGTATGCTGAAGCCTTGGAAGAAAGCAAATCTCATTTTGAAATTCATAATCTTGGACATCCAGTTGATTAGGTGAAGAAGGTAACTCAAAACATCTTTTGACAGCAACCTCAAGTCCATCATGCAGTTGACCCTGAATGCAAACATAATATTCAAATGATGATCAATATTTTTGCACAAACTGGTTGGGTTACTCAATGAAGAGTTCTAGTGTTTTTTCTCTCAAACGCACATGAGAGCTGCGTATCATTTGATTATGAAGAGAGGGTACTGAAAGCAGTAGAGATTGCGTGGAATAGTAGATTGATTAGGGTATACAAGGTGTACAAATATATAGGCAGCCCTTGGGAGAGGTTTATAGAAACATAACCAATCAAGGGATAACATGCCTACCCTAATCTATCTAGGCACGGCAGGGAGCCGGCCTGGGCCTGGTGCACAGCCACAGGAGGCCCATACACACGCACACAGCACATACATATCTAACAGGTACCAAAGAGTACAATAATGCACCCACAGACCTACAATGCACCCCACCACACCTTTCTATAGTGATGAAGAGTTTTATTGTGGCACCTAATAAAGAGGTCGATTACATGATAGTGGAGTTTTTAATCTAATGTAAAATTGCAATGCTATTTGATAGTTATGACCTTTTCCACTTTATTGCAAATTAGCACAGTTGAAATAGAATAGAAGATTATAGAAGGCACCTCAATAGCAGTGCTGCAGCGGGATAACCGTATCAAAGTCTAGAAGGTCAAACTTATATCCGTACGTGATGACCATATCAAAGTATAGGGGGGCAAAATTATATCCATAATTTAATATGACACTTTTTTTACTTTTCAAAGTCTTAGGTTCATATATGCTTGTATGTATTTAGTTGAAATCTGATGCCACTTTGGTGACTGACTTTCTTTGTCATATTTTCATCAATGAAGCAGATGAAAGAAATTCTTCTGAAAAATTTAGTCATGCTATTTACATGAATCCAAATTATATATTGTAACTATTACCTTGGTCAAAATTCAATGAGAGTTTGTTAAATGCATTCTAGGGAGTCATTTCGTTTACCCTGTTTTGGCATGTGTTAGTGGGGGGGATTGGGGACACCTACCTTGTAAACACAGCCAAAGCTACCTTTGCCAATTAGATTCCTGTCAGAGAAGTTGTTTGTAGCATCAACCAACTGGGACAAACTGAACTTGAGTGCCTCTGTTATGACAGGAGAAAAATCTTTGAGACCCTTAAAATCAATCTATTTGGCGCTCCAAAACAATGCTACTTTCCACAAGCATACTGATGTAGTTTCTGATCACCATTTCTCTATTTAATGGGCCATACCTGCGCAATTCAATTGGAGGGAGCACCTTTTAACTTTACCATACGCTTCAGTCCTGCCACTAACAAGGTGAGTAAATTCTATCGTGCTATCTAAGGAAGAAGAAAAAAATGTTATCCTTGCATCTTACATATCAGTATAAAAAAGGTTCAAAATTCAAGATTGTGTACAGGACTTTTCACGAAACTCTCTCTCTCTAAAGTAGAAAACCGCTTAACAAAACCATGTAGACAGACTTGATTCTTCTGGTAGTGTGCAAGAACATAACCAAATAACTAAAGAATCTCAAGACTCTCAATATAATTGAGGATGCAAAGTACCATAACCGCTGCCAATTCAAGGAATCCCACATCTCATTGAGAAAAATGCCAATACAAGAAATCCCAGATGCAAACTATTAGCAAAACCACAGGTTACTAAATGTTAGTTATTGAACTATGAATGATGAAAACACAAGGGAGCTCAAATGTCAAGCCAACTAATGGGGTTATTTAGTGAAGTCTCCAGAATGTGCAACAAAAATTAGGCAGGGAAATATGTTGTTAACATTTATGGAACTTATCCATTATGTATTTTTAGAATATACAAATAGATTGACATTATTGTCTAAAAATTGAAATGAAACTCAAATCTCTCTTTTTTTTTTACCTGACATCAGGCTCAGGTCAGGTTCAAGCCAGCCAAAAAAGTATGGGTACACTAAAATAATTGCACATTCTAACCTGGTGTCACAAGATGAGCAACCTGGAAGCAGTCTTGGCACATCTCTTACAACCTGAAATAATAAAATAGGTGTCTGAGGACCAAGAATCTGGAAAGAAGACGTTTCTTAAAATAAATTAATATGTGACATGGATAATTTGAATCCTACTATACTACTGCATGATGCTTCATAGGAAGTCTACAAATATGAGAAAGAATACCATGTAAATGTGGTCATGCCATATTTATACAAATTTGTATTCCCCCAAGTGCATTTTGTTTCTCATATTCACTATTATCTAGAAATAACGAAGACCATCAGTTTTTTTGGGGTGAACAGGAATCACGGAGCCAATTAGGTTCACAAGATTCAAGTTTCAACAATGTCTCAAGCATATTTTTGGAGAAAAACAACTTAAAGAAGCTTTCATTGTCACCAAGCTTGCACACGACCAGTTTACAATTCTTATTTCTTATTAACCCATACCAATTTAGAGGTGCTCCATATTTATTTTCAACACAAGACCTTCATGGAACAAATGAACCAGACTATTTCTAACTACTTATGATTGATGCAATTATAACAAATTACTTTTTATCTTACCAATTACCATACCTGTGAGCATGGAGGCCGTATGATTTCAAGAATTTTGTCCAGGCGGCCTGTGGTGTCAATGTGACTGATGAGTGGGAAAATTTGGAGACACGAGTTCATCCTATTCTGCAGAATGCGGAACTGATCTGCCTGCTTCTTGCCTGTGAACAGGTGGTATATGTAGTTGTTGTTTTGGCAGGATGTGACAAGCATGTATGCCTCACGAAGAATCTCCCCAAGCTCATTAAGACCGTTCCTAGTCTCTGGATGTTGCATCATCTCCGGAGTCTGCAGCTTTTTCAGGAGGTCACCGATTATCTGCACATGGTGGACTAGCTGCTGGCAGGTCTTCTTGTTATGGCGAACAGTCTGAGCTGCCTGCACAATCATCACGACAAGCTTGACAGCATCAGCCCCTGCAAGCTTCGCGATGTCCATTTTCTCTCTGCTTTACTGGTTGCTTGCAGTACAAGTGATGAAATTGGACTGCTTCTGCTACAGAGTTATCATCCAAATAGAACAAGAACAATCTTTTGCAAACAAGCTCTGGCCAACTAGGTGGATGAAAGAAGCTCTGAGGAAGCAAGGTAGATGGTAACAACCATGGTCTAATGGTGGACTAGTCCTGTGAAAGACAAAGGTAAGTAGAGTGGTCGTCATACGCGTAGCAGCAGTTCTCGACAAGGGGTCCCACATGGTCAAGATTTCCAACTTCCATACTACTACAGTGACCCTTTTGGAACTAGTATATAAACCATGGATAGATCCGTGGTGGGAGTGTGAGTGATACTGCATTCGAAATTGAGTGTGTTTTGACTCATCAATGAGGGTAAAATTACCTGAATATCTTACATGCAATGCAATCCGGATGTTTGATACCTGAGAGACCTTGTCTTTGATCCTCTTACATATTGGACGGTTTTTAGCCCTTGATCCTTCCTCGTGAACTGTCCTTTCTGAACCAAGGCTGCGTGGCATTTCCACGAACGCCTTGTGTTCGCCCTGCACGCACACGGATGATTGTGATGAACACCGCCCGAAAACCCCACAAAATCTTCAGGATCAGAGAGTTGGGTTTGCACCAGACAGCGGAACGCCATGACAGAAAATATCCCATTTCTCGATTTCCGCGTGGAGAGCGAGCTCCGCGGCGACGGCTAGAGGAGTCAACGCCTGACAGCTGGCTGACACGTCCCGCTCAACCCACCAGGTGCCGTGCCGACACCGACGCCGACGGAGAAGAGACGGGACGCTTCCCGGCATTTCCACGAACAACTTGGTCACAGTCTCGCAGAGTCAGAGCGTTAGGGAGTGTTCGGCTGGGACAAATCCGACACTGTTTATACTGAAAACACTGTTGAAATTTCATGAGACTGCTCCGACCGAAGAAAAAAAAGCAGCCAACCAACCGAACACGCTCTTAGAGGGGCCCACCACGGGCCGGGCACTCCGGTTCTCCGCTCTACCGCCTTTCCGTGGTTCCGGCAATGACCGGATCCCATCGCGGGGACCTCGTCGTGGCTGCCTGACTGGCGAGCTAGCACGTCCTGAATCGCTTCAGTGCGGCCAGACCCTGGGAACTGCTTGTCCTGAATCGCTTCAATCGCTCTACCTTGAACGGACCTCGCTGTCTCGCCGCCCGGCGAGCAGCCACCGGGCAAGCAGTTCCCTGGGTCTCGCCGCACAAAAGCGATTCAGGCAAGGTGAAATTTCCGCAACGGCCTGGCGCGCCGGTCCTTATCGTGCGGCAGTCGCTGCCCCGTGATTCGTGCAAGTCAATGGACATTTTCGGCAGCTTGCACACGTCGTGCGATATACTACCTTCCACAGCAGCTCATTTTCACCGCGTCCCACTCATAAATTCACTCCCTCCCAACTTTCGCTCATTTTCACCGCGCCCCGCTCATCTGAATTTATTCCCTCCCAACTTTCTCCTTTCACATCTCTCCATCCCTATCCTCTCCGCCTTCTTCCTGCGCTCCGGCCAAATGCTGCCGCCCGCGACTGTCGTCGACGACGAGAGCTATAGGCGCTAACCTCGACCAAAGCACGGTGAACACTGCCTCTGGCTCTTTAGTTGTGTTCTTGTATCCCCTCTATCTACATGCTCGTATCTGTGTGCCATGGATCTACCTCTTTCCTTTCTGTTTCTCCACCACGTCTCCTCTGTTGGGTTAGCTAATCCCAGCAGGGGGAAATAAGTGGAATGACCTCCGGCCGGCGCCGAAGGCCAGGTCTAGTATGAGGCGATGAAAGTGTGGCCCACACCGAATCAGGGTTTCATAAATCTGCGAGAATGCACTAGGAAGTGGCAAATGTTCTGTGCACTTTTGAACTTTATATGTTGACAGAAGTACAAACATGTCCGCTTATTACACATGTATGAGTAGAATTGTATAGAAATCACAAATCAGTTGTGAAGTATGAGCCTACTGCGGGGACATAAACGTACACACGATGACATTAAACAGAGCCTATTGCTCAGGGCAACATGAGAGAGAAATCACGAGGAAGTGAAGGCGTACCATCTCGCATCTCAGGGCGACAGTGTTCACCACAAGATCTGACTTGGCCCATGGCCATGGTAACGGCATTCGAAAGATGGGCACCGGATCTGATATATGTGCACAACCAGAGAACGGCGCCGCCGGCTGACTCCTCCGCACCTGCAGCAAGGCAAGAAGCATCATGCCAAGGAAGAGGTGTTGAAGCCAAGGTCGAGGAAGACAGCAGCTGCAGATGCAATGGAGGAAGCGGAGGAGTGCCAAGGGGCGGCGGGGCTTGGGGGCGGCGGCGGTGAGGAAGCGGAGGAGCGCACAGCAGAGGAACCGGAAGCCGTGGCCACAGCCTGCTGAGCCTGAGAGTCGCGAGATATATTGGAGAGAAGTCGCGAGCGTGTAGACGAGAAGGTGGAAGAAACAGTGGTCAACAGAGCAGGTGGACGGCAGGTGCACGTGTCGGACGCAGCACAAGATGGAAAGTGCGATGGACGGCCGGTGATAAAGCATTTGGGGTTCTGATTTTCCAGGTCCGTTCGGCTGGCATCTGCGGCTTTGAACGGTCAACACGAGCCCAGCAGATTAATCTTCTTTTCTTTTTTTTTAGAAGGAGCCCAGGACAATTCATCCGTACAGATTAACGATTGATTGGTAAGCCACGAGGCCGATAAATAGTGGGCTGGAAGGGAGTGAGAGTTGAAAGAAGAAAAGAAATGGGAACAAAGTTTATCGGCCCAGACACAGCCCGCCGTGCACCCCTAGCAGGCACGGCCCTTGAGTGAATTCTTTAATATTAAATAAGGTTTTAGTATTTTTAAACGGATATTTATTCTTGAAAATATTTGGATACTTTTGAAAATTTATTTTCAAATTAAATTTGTAAAGTCTAATTGACCTCCTAAACTACCGTAAAGGTCTAGTTTACCTTGCTCGTGGTTGCATCACCTAAAATCGTTTCCAAAACTGTTTAGGCCCCGTTCGCGTGCTCTTAAACCCGGCTTGATCCACTTCTTTTTTCATACGGAACAATGTTTTTCTCTCACAGATTCCTCCAAATTTCTCCAAGCGAACAGGCCTTAGAGAGCTAAATCAGACGGGTTCAAGAGTCTAAAAATCCAGTTTTAGGGCTTATTCGGTTTCTCTGGATTGAGTGCCTGATTCCAAGTTGGAATGCTTCACTGATTTGTATAATCTTGATTAGCTGGATTGGTTCGTGCCTCCAATCCAAGGTAACCGAACAGGCCCTCAGGCAATAATTGAAACAAGTCAAATGGATTTGTTCTGCAAATTTTTGTGTACCCATTGACCGGTAAGCTCACGAGGCCCATAAGTAGTGGGCCGGAATGGAATGCAATTTGGAAGAAGGAAAGAAATTGGAAGGAAGTTTATCGGCTCAGACACAACCCACCGTCCACTTCTAGCACGCACGGCCCATGAGTTCATGTGAAAATTCCCCCTTTTCTCTTTTATATAAGTTTATTATTTTTATTATGAGTTTTTTTATGTGTCTCCTTTACTGTGTGCATTTTATTTAAAAAAACTTCTAGATTATTGTTAACTACGTACGGAAAACGAATATGTAAGGTAAGGTTCTCATAATCTATCACTATGGATACTTGCCTTCCTCAGCCCCTCGGCCATCAGATGCCTCAATAGTTCATGAAGGGCACGTTTGGTTGTCTCTCCAGGTTTCCTTGCCTAGCTTCGCCCAGCAAGGCGAACCTTGCTAGTGCAGGTGAGCCAAACCTGCTGGCCCAGCGTAGCAAGGAAATTCTTGCTTGCACGGATAACGAGGCGGCTGGGTAAGAGATCCAAACAACATTACTATTCTAACTTCTAGCCTAGCAAGGTGAGACAAGAGATCCAAACGTGCCCGAAAACTCTGGCTAGAAGGTTCAGGACCCTAGATGTCATAATGCACAGCTCCCCTATTGCCTCGTTTCTGGATCCGCCACTGATCAGGGTGAAGGTTCTACCTTCATCGGTTGAACCTAAGTAGGGCCATATATCCAAGCTCTCTAACTGAGTGCTTCCTGCATTTTAATATATTGTATATATATATTTGTACTTAGCTTGAATTCCAAAACATGTAGCTCTTACAAAAACAAAGATAATGGAAAAAAGAAGCCTTGCTAGGCTAGAAGTTAGAATAGTAATGTTGTATCTTTAATTGAGGTGCACGGCGCACCAAGAAATTGCATCTTTAATTGATTCGCCTGCTTGTCATAACATGATTATATATATTGGTTGGAATTATAATTTTTGGGGGAAATGTTCAATCACATAGTTATTTACTTGTGATTATTATTTACTACCCCCTCCGTTCCAAATTATAATCGCTTTGACTTTTTTGGTTCATCTATTTAGCTTTGTATCTAGACATATTATTATATCTAGATATATAGCAAAATAGATGTACCAAAAAAGTTAAAAAACTTATAATTTGAAACCGAGAGAGTAGCGAGAATGAGAGCAGCTACGGCTCTGTCTCAGATACAGGCATTTTCTGAAGCTGATATAAACTGAATGTGAACGGTTAGGATGGGTGGACTCTATCATTTCCAGCTCCTTCGATCTCCTATATTATATTGTAATTGTACTACTATTAAAATGCAGTGAGTAGGCTTAATTCATGCTGACTCATCACCCTCCTGGCCCCACGCTGAATCTGCAACAGCAAAATGCTGTACAGCTCCCCTGTGATTCAGCAACCAATGCAACCAACCAATAATTGAGCTAACGTCAAACTTTTACTACCCTACATTCAGAGATGGAATCACGGAGTTCAGCAGAAACGTTTTGGCCAAAAGTGATGCAATTGTAGGCGAGTTGGGGCCCAGTATGGAATGTGTTTGCAAGCAGGAGACGGCAGTGCACATATTGCAGAGGTTGAGGGGCCCTGCATGTTGACGCTGTGTATGTGCTCCTACGTTCTAGATACTCCCCAGAACAACAGGGGTCAACTCATACGTAAAGGAGCGTCAGCAAATTGAAGGCTATCTGAGCTTAAATACTTCATGGTGGAGGTTCAGAGGAATTCGGGTATGTGGGACGGATCTAGATGCATTTGGAACACTACTTTGAGATTCATTAGTACTTTCGTGCCACAAATAGAAGTCTGTTACCTAGTGAACCTTTTAACTTTGTTTCGTTAAGAGCTTTTCATTCCACATTTGCTACTACCTTCTTTGCAAAAAGATGTCTCGTTTTTTTAGAGTCGTGCCACAAACAGTAACGAACAGTGCATGAACAGCCCCTGCGCGGTCTCCATTTTATTCGCCTTATATGCATCTTCGGATCCACAGACTGGTGTATAATTATTTTGTTGTTATGTTTAGGAAAGAAAATGAGTTTTCTTTAAAAAAAAGGAAAAGGAATTTGTTTAGTTTTTGAGTGAGCAAAAATGAGCATCCGCAAAAATATGTCGAAAAAAACACCAATGCGCAGCATGTACCTGGTATCTTATTCTTACTATTATTAATTAGAAATCTTGGTGGAGCCTCTACGTTAATTTTTACAAGATACACTAAAAAGATAAATTCTTGAAATAAATGCAAATGTCTGGCTACCAATGTGGTATACTCTAATTACCATTAATTATAATAGATAATAGATTTATCATTATGAAAAAAAATACAAAACAACCCCCGTAAATATGCATCTAACCACCCACCTCTACTTATGAACCGTACTATAAAGTAACCCCTTAGATTTGCATCTAAATTACTTACTTCTGCCATTATTAAAAGAATAAACTAAAATATTCTCTCAAATTACATCTTTATTATGGAAAGTTTAAATTACCAAAAATTAGGCATGTATATTTCTCTCTTCTATCATCTAAATTACCAACACATTTTATTATACATGTTTGCGTCGTGATATAGATCAAGTATAGTTGTTTTGCATGAGTGATATATAGATTTGTACATTTCAACAAATGAAAAATGCTCCTTTAATGTTTCATATACAATGGCACTAACTATTCATTTAAAGTGAAATTGATATTTAGACGGTAATTTATATAAGTTGTTACTTTAGATCTTATATACATTTTGTCAGCAACATTATCATCCATCAATAATGCGAATAGTTATAAACACTCGATTTTTGTACAGAAAAAATACAACTTCAGGCCTGTTCAACTACTCGTAAAAGTTGCCGATGCTGGCGGTCAGTACAGTGATTCTGTGAAAGGCAGTAGCTGATGCAGCGGCGGTGACGGCTGCAAAACCAACTGCCGAACAAGCCCTTCACATATACTCTACTTCTATGACACCGAAGTTAACATCTTAATTGAGAAGTGGAAGAGGTTAGTGCAAACAAAAGGTGGTCATGGTCTCCTTGATATTTGAAGTTAGCTTGGAGGAAACAATGCTAATATTTAACATCATTCTAGTAATTATTAGAGTGGAACCTTAGATCTAATAATATCATTAATTTGAAGAAAATACATACGAATAATTTTAAATAAAAAGTGCAATAAACACGAGATTTTGAACTTAATATGCGGATAACAACTTATAGCGAGTAATAAAATAAAATCTATTCGTGTCGCGTCACTGGACTATAGCTAGTATGACTTAAGCTATGAAGTTCCGACTTGAATATTAAAAAAATCTTAATTTGCATAGGATGGGAATGCCATTCTGTCGTTTCTTGTATATACAGGAGAGGGGGCTACACAAACCGTCTGGATACATGATCCGCCCCCCTGAAATTTTGCCGGAAAGGGGATCGCTGTTTCAACGATAGTCATAACACTATCGACCCCATAACATGAGTGCTGGCTCGGTCACCGTCCGGTTGCGGCGCAGCAAAAGCTCCTCCAGGCTCCAGTGCGGTACCTCGTTCCTGCGAACTTGGCTCTCCAGCTAACGTGTACGGTGTGGTGTAGTACCGGATACCGTGGCGCTGGCGCCGCGTGGTCCCGGAACGGAACAACCTGCTGTCCAGCCTTCCAGGTACGCGCCGTGTGAATCGAATCGCTCGCCTGGTCACACTATTATTAATTTATTATCATCCCCGCACATCGCAATTATCGCTGACTTGAGGTCAAGCTCCCCTTTTGTTTTTTCGGTATATAATAATATAATTATTACCAAGACACACAAGAAGAAAATCGCTTGCTTCTATGTTCACTGTTGGTCCCACGGCGATGTGCCACTTGCTGCGACGCCTATATACATATGGGGCTGTTCGGCTGGCTGGCCGGCAGCCTACTCATGGAATCACTGTTTTATGTTAACAGTGTTTTCAGGAAGAATAGTGTTTTTCTCTCACGACAATAAGTCGGAATAATATTTTAGTTTATTTTTTAGTCCTGCCAAACAGACCCATATATTCTACCATGCCAAATTATTGACAATTACTCCGTACTACTATAATAATATCGCGGCTGGCGGCGAGAGAGTTGGTTAATCTTGAAGCGAATCCATGGAGCTAGCTAAGCAGCAACGGCACCAAGAGTGGCCAGATCACGCACGTGGATGGAATGATATGATTAAGCA